CAAGAGATCACAAGAACTCGGTCGTAAACAAACGCGAGTGTGTGAAGCACCCTTTACCCTGTCGCATGCATGTGCTCGATAGTTTCCACGAGGTTACGGCTCTAAGTGCTAACATATTTCAAATGGGCTCGAAGCTGTCTCCAGGGTCCAGACGGTGTCCGCGAGAATCGTGCCGCGGCCACCGAGCGCTCTCGATTTTCGTCGAAATAGAGGCCCTCTTCGACCGCTAATTTTAGCGATGGACGACGCCAATGGGCAGCGGCGAAAGGCTCTCTCGAGGTTTTCGGGACACGACGACAACGGCGTTGAAAGAAATACGCGCAACACGGCGATCGGCGAGGTTTATTTTGGCGTCGAGACAATTCCGGAGAAAAACTTCCGCTTCCTGGAACAGTGAGTGAAAAGAAACGGCGTGAAGTGTTTCCTACTGTGCAGAGTGTAACTTTCTGATGCGGCGACGAATGAAAACTCAAGCATCTCTCTCTCTGTGCCTCAATACCGCAAAGCCATTGTATGTTTTAAGCATGTCGAGAAAATAATACAAGAATCGGATTTGTTTGATTGTAATCACATATAACTTCCTTCTTCCTAGATGTATGCAGTCACTATTTCTAGTTATTTTGAACCAAACAGATTCATTATCAGTTGTTTCAACGCGCAAAAGCCTCGAAATGAGCGCGCGAGATTAAAGTAATTCCTTCTAAATCCATAGTTATGTCGAAAAGTTGCAATTAATTTTAAACACTTTCAGTGATGTGATTGGTCTATGTCGTTTTGGAGCGGCTCTCGGAGCAGCCAAAAGTCCATTTTGGAGCAGCAAAAATAACTTTTGGAGCATGAGACCTCACTTCTTTCTTACTCATATCACTGCAGATATCACGTTAAAATTCATCTGTTCGCCGGTTCAACTAAAGGGCAATGTCTACTTTGCCTGTTCACTTACGTGAAACCCTTTTGTTAACATTGATCGCACCAACAGAAGCAAATTTCTAAAAAAAAAAAGAAAAAGACTGTTAGACGTTTGTGGAAGCACCAGACACGGCAACAAGATGACTCATGAAGGACAGCACAAATGCGGTGAGTGATTATTTTAGGTACAAAATTTCCCACTGAAATTATGTTAGCATAAAATAAATTTGAGCACTTAAATCTATGTTTCCTTCAAGTTAACGACGCTGCAATAAAACTGCAGCTCTTAATTCAGAAAAACAAAACGAAGTTGTTGTCATTTGGTTATGACGCGTCAATTTTTATATTTTAGATGTAGAATATCATACCAAACAATTAATTGGTTTAGTACGCTTCCTTAAAAACAATCCCGCCGAACTCGTTAAGGTCTTCCCAAGCTTCTATCCACTACTCCTGCTAATTTAGTTCTAATTTACTCACACCATTATAAAGGTGATAACTAAACAAAAGGGGTAGGCATAAAACATAAAAAAAAAAAAAAAGAAACTACAGAAGAGTTAATATAAATCGTCTTGCAATACCGAAGCATCTTTGCTAAATCTCGAATTGGCAAAAAATATACCTCGAGGATATCGCTGTCTATCACATATACAGAGAGATCGGTGGCCGAGTGGGCTAGCGCACACCAGCTCGGAACACCTGGAGCGAAAGCTCGCGCAGCAGAACCCAGGGATCCTGGGCTCAATCCCCACCTTTGCCCGTTTCGATCTGGATGAGCACCGTACCGGCGTGCGGTCGTGTATCACTACTGCCTGGTGCACGTCAGACCCCAGGCTAGCGACTGTGCTGCACTGACTAAATTTCTCATCTACAGCTGGGAGACAAGCCGCCCGTTGAAATTCTAGGCTGTATAAACATACACACACCCAAATATATATATATATATATATATATATATATATATATATATATATATATATATATATATATATATATATATATATATATATATATATACACATACATATATACATACATATATACTTGCTCTGGAGGAGTGATTTCCCGTTCGTACGCGAGTGCGCTGCGGCGAAGCAAGACACGTGAAATCGCGACGCCTACGTCGCGGTTGTCGCTTCACTGCAGTACACCGGTGTGAGGTTAGAAGCGCACTCAACGAAACTAACCCGCCAGACCAGAACACGAACATAATTAATAATGATTGGGGCACTTCAGAATACAGTCAGTGTTTCATGCGTAATCAGATCGAATAGTACGTCATATGAGGCGATTTTGAAAGTTATAAGAACTCGCACAATCCTATCGTAACGATCCAAAAAAAGGCCTGCGCAGTTATATTTCCATTATTTTTAAAGTGAAGTTTTGGTGCAATGTCGGTGCAAATTCCTCATACTGGTAAAATGCTGCAAGATACAGCAGGGTAAGCAGTTTGGCGCAAATGACGCATCAATCACATCACTGCATGGTGAATATAAAGCGCTTTGTACCATAAAACTAGGACTGTACCTTCCCTGTGCTTGAAATTTTATTGGGCAACCTTACCGGTGCTTGGAATATTTTATGTCAAAATAAAATAGCGAATTCAGCAACCCACTAAAGTATGCCTCACTTGAGATAAATAGTGAAATCTTGCGCAAAAGTTTTCATAATTATAGGTCTCGGGACAAACAAGACCATAACAACTTCCCACACAGCAGCGCATTTTTATCCTGAGATGCTGCCGGCCAGTAGAGCTTTAAAAAGGCCACTTCGCGCACAAGGAGGCAGCGAACTAAATCAGTAATTACAACGCCACTGCGGCAGCTGGCCGATGCCAATACCTATCAATAGCGCCGGAAATATGCATTTGAGAGACGGGAGGAGGAACGTACTGCTACCTCGTAGGTTTCTTACTTCTTGTTTTTTATCTTCATAGCTCAACAATATTGAGCTATGTAGAGCAAAGTGGAAAGGGAAACCCAACGCTGCAATTTGGTTTACCACAGAGGACCTCCACCGAATTTCTCTCTCCCCTGACAAAAATATTTCCTACGATGATTATTTGTTCAAAGCTACGTACAAAACAAGCGAGTTCATAGCAATTATTGAAAAGCGGGCACTCCAAACGCCAGTAAAATCGTGGATACTTTTTTTCTTCTCCTGGAGCGGTTTGAACAATAAAGTCGCGTGATCTGCACACCGATTTTCATTTTCTTTTTTTTCCCCCATTCTGGCCGCGTGCCACTTCGGCCTGAACAGTCTATGTGGCATACAGTGCTCTGCCGTCGTCACCTATACCGCACGAGGCGTGCATTGGCACAATACAAAGCTAGGGCTTGCCACTCCACCAGCGAATCGCTCCCACTCGATTTCACGACGTAGCAGCTTCTTTCAACATCTGTCTACAGTGCCGACTTCTCGCAGCGAGTTTCCTGCTCTTCGCCACACTATCCGGCTTTGCGTCGCGAAGTCACGAAGACATCCGCGTTTGTTTGCGGCTGTTCCTGAGAACGGCAAACGGCGGTGCTCTCATCGTCGAAGTGTTCAAAGTGAGCGGTTGCGCAAGAGGTTCGCTCGGCTCGACTGGTCCCAATAGACGCTTTCAGCGCGCGCCAAATTGAGCCGCCATAGCCGACCTTCTCTTGTCTTACCGCCATGCCGAGCCACTCAAGCGGGCGTTGACGAGTCTGCACAAGGGTCTATGCTGGAGAGAAGGACACGGTAGAATCTAAAATGGCAATGACCTGTCCTGCTGTGGTAATGATGAAGTAGAGCAAGCGGAATAAGAGGAAACAAAAACTGAAGGTCGGTTATGGCGGCGCCCATGCACAGCTGCCTGAAAGCGTCTATACATAAGCAACGCCTCAGAGTAACGACGCCTCGGCCACCTTGGTGCTCAAACCCAATTGTTACCAGTTGCCTGAAACCCTACCTGAAAGCTCAGGAATCGCTTTTTCGTCCCCTAGAATTGCGAAAACTGTCCGCGACAGAGCGAGACGATGTCGCCCGAGTTCCCTGGCACCACGAGGTCGCACTTTCGAATCAGCACCAAAATGGCGGCGCCCGCAAGAAAGCGGAACCAGCTACTCTTCGTTCGCTTTCTGATAGCCCCTGCCTCAAGTTATGCTGCAAGGCCCGTGGTGGTGCCATCAGCTCCTCTTCGCGGCGGTTTCTGCGAGATGGCCTGAAAATGCTGCGGTCAACACCATGAAAGTGGTACACTGCGTGCAATCTGCACGAGTGACACCGCCACCGTTCAGCTGGTTCATTTGACTGTCCGCCTCTTATAGAAAAAACAAATGAAGGCCGCCTGTACTGACATGACGCATTCACAGTGGTATTTATTCATATGCGGAACGCGGCACCCTTGACAAGTCCCGTCGTCGCGGTCAGTCACATGGTAAGCCAGGTAAGCAATGATGACAATGTCTAGCCCCGCATAATGGCGTCCTGGAACAAAGTCACCGTCGCCTGCTCCCACGCACCCCTCAATTAGATTAGAAAATCGAGCGGGAAGACGGAAGCCGATGCCGCGGAGCAGACAACGTACATCCAACTTGCGTCACATTCACGAAGGCAGTGCTGCCAGCGTTGCGGAGCGATGTTCTCATATTCCATTCCCCGACTTCGTACAGATCGGTGAGCGGCGTACGTGCTTGCCTCTTTGGAATATATTACACACAGTCGGATGTATGCCCTAATCAACTTCCAAATTGCTTGGCAGCTAGACGTTAGTTTCGTAACCATGCACATCCACCGTCATTACAGCGCTGACTAGTGCCCTAAACAAAGGCTATACAGAAACAGGTCTTTATCGAAGCAAGACGGCAAGTATGGGTTCATAACTGGAACTGGAGCAGCATAGCATTGATAGCACCTCAACTGGTTTTGAGCCACCAAACCATAATCAACCGATCAATTATGACTACAAGGTTAAAAACACCGTGTCCTGTTGGCTTCTGTCTACAATTCTGACTTGACGCTTCAGACCTTTGGGTCTATTGAATCGACGTTGGGTGTGCGCATGTGTGTACCAGCAAGTGCGTCTCAACTTGATAATCGAAGCAAGGAAAGCGAAAGGCACGACTCACTGATCGGAGTTCCACGTGCCAGAGACGGTGTCGAAGTAACCCCACGAGGCGGCCAGCTGGGTCGAGGTGACCGGCCTCTCCAGCTGACAGAGCATGGCCACCAGCATGTCCTGGATGGTGCCGGCCCGGTCGAAGCGCTGCATCAGCTCCGGTCGGTGCCGCACCAGCCAGACCAGCGTCGCGCAGCCGTGACCCGAGCTCAGTCGCAGGTGCGAGTCCGGCTTCGGCAACTCGGCGAGGAACTGCTCCGAGCAGCGACCGTCCTGCCAGGTGTACAGGGCGCTGACGGCGTCAACGTCGAAGCGGCCAAAGGGATTCCGTCGCCAGCCGCCGTCCTGCTTCCAGAGGACCACGCCGTGCATCTGGCCCGACACCGCGACCCGAGTCACGCGAGCCAGCTGCTCCTTGGGCAGCTGCGACACGCAGAACTGGACGGCGGTGCAGATCTTGTGCGCGGCCTGCTCGCTGCCCGACGAGCCGACGTCGCTGGGCTGCGTGGCCTGGGTCTGCCGAGCCAGCGAGACGAGAGGCTCTTTGCTGCCGGTGACAAGGCACGCTTTCACCGTCGTCGTGCCGAGGTCGATACCCAGCACGAGCTCTCGTCGGCCGTTCATGGTAGCGGCGGTAGCGGTAGGAACGGGGCCACTGCAATCACCGGGCCGCGCTTGCGGAAACGACGCCGGACGCCGTCAGGTACTGGTGCCGAGCTCGCGCGAAGTGCCGCCGACGCTCTTGAGGAATTGTCGCCTCGCTAGAAAATTGAGAAATACGTCGTTTCCTCGGGAAGCGTAGTTACGTCGTGACAGAAAAACAAGCGAACCGCCATCGAATGCTCTGGAGCCGTGGCTATCACTGTGTAACTCTAGTGCGCTGTATGGGTAAAAGTAAAAGTACTTCATGGGTCGCGGAAATGATTCCCGCCGCAGCGAGGCGCTAGGCTCGGCGAGGCGCCAAAGCCGTCTGATGCGCTCTAATTTTTCCAAACGTTGTAAATGTACCGTTTTCTTCTAGATCTTTATTTCGTTAAAACTTTAAACCTTCAGTAGAATTACTGTATAATCATCGTAAAACAAATGCACCTGTAGCTTGAGAGGGTGCTGATCTAGATCATTGTAACGAAATAGCCTGGCCGCGATGTTTTTCCACAGGCTGGAAAAACCTCTCTGAAGACATCGCTACCATCGAGGAATTAAATACATAAGTAAATAAATATAACAAATAGATCCTTGAAAGTACGGAACATTGTGGTCTAAATATTTTACCGATTTAAATTCCAGTAACAAAACCTGCACATTCGGTGTAGCATGGCTGGCGTTGATCTTCGGACGGACGCGTCGTCTGCTCAGTAGGGAACGCTCGTCACGCACCCTTCGCGATCGTTTTCTTTTTTGTTGATAGGCGATGTTCTCCACCGAGCAGACCTCTACGCACTAAAGACAGAAAGCTGCCACGCCATTGGTTCACTCCGGGGGCTTGGCCCAACAACTTTTTCCCCGAAGCCCCGAATCTCCGAAGCCCGAACGGCCTGAACGCCCGAGGTGCCGAAGTGCCCGCAGAAGCACCGAAGCCGCGGAAGCTGTCCGAGCCCCAGCGCTTGAGAGCCTAAAGGAAACGCGGCTGGTCTGTGGAACTGCCGGTACTGAGACCGGTGCTGGTGCGGCGGATCGCTGTTTATTTTTCCTCTTGCTCGGGTAAGTGCAGTCGTCAGCGTTTGCGAAGTACCTTTCGAATCTCTGAACCACATTTAATTTCGCACAGCTGAGAAAGTCGTCGCCATGGACAAGGACGGAGCGAAATTTCGCAGCCCTTTCGGCCGGCCCAGCATGCTGACAAGTGGCGCAGCCTTGTCGGCATCGTCTTTTCTCCCGTCGCAAAAGACGACCAAAGGAATCGTTGCCGGTTAGTGAACCATAATCTCGACTTTTCTCCACCACTACCACCCCTGCAAACGATCGTTCGGCCGGATTTTTGTTGTTGACGCCTATGCAAATGCCCCGCGGCTTTTCCTCGGGTATTCTTTTTTTGTGAGAGACCTTCTTATACTAATTAATTGCCTTCCTCCGCTCCGAATCGCGAGGAACTGGCGGCTATATCGCAGCCTGCTTTTATCTGGGATCGCGTGTCACCTTATTATCTGTCGCGCCACCAGCAGCTGCTTGTCAGTTATGGACATGACTTTGCGGATTCGTGGCGAATGCTTTGGCGGTCGAAGGACCGTGTTTGTCGGGCGACCTGACGACACCGGCGTCGATCGGGAGCAGCTGTTGAAGACCTTGAACCGCTTGAACCTCAAGGCCTCTCAGAGTCCGGTTACCTGACGGGGAAACACGGCGTTCCCCCTGATGAAATGCAATCTGCATTGCTTAGGGCGCTTGTTCAGCCCGAGGGGAAAGCCTGCTGTGGATCTGCCTTCTTTCGGAAGAGCAAGAGAAAAACAATAAGCAAACACGCAGTTATATATCTTTGCATCTCAGTTTTGCCACCTTGATATAAATAAAGCAGAATGACGAGAATGAGTACGACGCCCCGAACGACCCCAAGACATCTCCATCTCACAAAGTTAGGCAAGCCGATTGCTCTATCAGGAATGTCTGAGCTTAAAAACTATTTTCATACAACTGTTTGAAGCTATGCATTTTAAATGTGCCAGGACTGACTGAGAAAATGTCCAGGCTGTCTTTCTCACACTTAAATCGCATTCCAGAACTTCGAAGCTCACTAGAAGGTAGCCCCGGCAATGAGGGCCGGAATGTAAATTTGAGCGCAGTATGTTACCTAAATTAAAAATTAGGAGCAATTTTTTAAATATTTTGAGTAGTAGGGAAACATGCTTTGTGGTAGAGAGTGACTGGCTATTTGATTTAATAGCTCGTGGAAGATGCTAGAGCTTTCAGTTCCGTGCAATGGCTTCTCAGGAAATCCCCCTCATGTGCAAACAATTGCTAGTGTATGTGTGCAGGTATATATAATAGGGTTGGCTGGGTTTCGGGGGTGCTGGAGCCCTATAAGCCTCCCCCCTAGCTACGCCACTGCCTGAGGTTTAGCATCTTGCGTTGCGTGGTTGATTCATCTGCCATAGAAAGATCGCTGGAAGTTTTCATGGGCAGACCCAGCACGTTTAAGAAAAAGCAGATGACTTTTCGCAAGTCGTTGCCCCATTGTTTTTCCCTAAATTGTGAATATCGGGGCAGCCACATCCCCACCGACAGTGGATGGCGGCAGGGCCCTTGGGGGTCGATCGGTCAACCCTGGAGTGATGCTGAGCACCTTGGCTTTGCAGGTGGCATCACGGGAGGCATAGAGATCTGCATCACCTTCCCTACCGAATATGTGAAGACTCAGCTTCAGCTGGATGAACGGTCTGCTCAGCGGCGCTACAACGGTATCATGGACGTCGTCCGCCAGACGGTCAAAGGCCATGGCGTCACTGGTCTTTATCGGGGCCTCAGTGTTCTCGTCTACGGGTCGGTTCCAAAGTCTGCTGTCAGGTGAGTGTTAGACATGTTTCGGTGCATGCACGACATGGATAAGCTGCTTTCTGGTTTAAGGTTGTAAGCTGCGTGAGTTGGTGACAGTTAGACCTAATGAAAAACAGCACAAATGAAATGTGTCTAAGAGAAAGAGCACACACAGACCACCTGTTTGTATTGTGTATTCCTCCTCTTTGTCCAGTCTTTTGTGCACTGTCTTTCGTTGTGTTCTTTCATGTTGTTCTTCTCCATGTGCCCGGTTGCCCAGGTATACCGAGAAGTGTGGCATTAAAAGGAGTGTTTGTTTTATTGCGGCTCTGTTTTTTTCAATATGTTATACAATGTGTTACATAAACTGGAAGGCTTGTTTGTACAGTAGAACCTCTTCATAGGTAAGTGATTTCTTTAAAAAAAAAAAATGTTAAACAAGTATGTGCAGAAAGAGTAAGTAAATAGGCAAGCTTGTTGATGTTACAGAGCTTAAAAAAGAAAAAAGAGCGAAGGGGACAAACTAAACTTCTCAAAATTGAGACAGTTTGTGTTAGTTCCCTTCTTCATCTGCCAACTCCAGTTTTTTGTTTTTCTTTAAGTATATGTGCTACGTTAGAATTAGAAATGGCTTCTCCAGTATGACAAGCGTGCTTCATTGCTTTATCTGTCTTTACCGTAGAGGCTTTTAGGTGCTTATGTGTAATAGCTTGGAGACCTCCAATGTGGAAATACCTGGCCAGTAACATTAAGCTTCTGCCATTGAATACATTCATAGAGTCTAAACTTGGATATTCATTGGTCATATGTGATTTGTTTTACTAAAAGGGTAGCTATTGGCTTAAGCTCGCTGAAAAAAAGCTGGTTCAATTTATTTCTGGCAAATTTAGAATGCCTCAATTGAGCCACACCTAACTAGACTCTCTCCCCACTAAGCTTATGACAAGCAGCAAAAATCCCTTCTCTAGAAGTGAGCAGGTTACAAAGCAATGTATTATCTCTTCACATTACCACCAGCATTAGCATGCCTTTTGCTGCATCAGCCAAGAGTCAAAAGCCTGAATTAAGTCTTATCATTATATTTATATGCCTTTGAGCTCAAGAAGAATAATGCACCAGGGGGCATTCATTACAACCCATATTCATGAAAACATATGTGTTCAAGATGATGATGCTGGGGAGGAGACGAGTTTACTCTCCTCTCCAGCGTCACTCTGCTGAAGTGGGAGGACTCCCGCACTCTTAACCCATCACAGACTATAGCTAGTGTGATTAAGCTATACTTTGAGGGCGATTTACCCGTGTTTGACGTCGTCGACAGGTTTGGGGCGTTTGAGGCACTCAAGAAGCGTAGCGTGGACGAGCGCGGCAACCTTTCGCCGGTGAAGCGGATGCTGTGCGGTCTTGGGGCTGGCGTCTCGGAAGCCATCTTGGCAGTCACCCCCATGGAGACGGTGAAGGTCAAGTTCATCAACGACCAGGCCTCGCCCAACCCACGCTTCAAGGGGTTCTTTCATGGCGTGCGCGAGATCGTCCGCACGGAGGGTCAGTGCGTTTAGTGCTCTCTCTCTCTTTCCCGTGGGGGGAGGGGAGGGGCGGGGAGGGGGGACAATGGGAATGCCCAGTTTGTGGAACAATTTGGAAAGCTAAAAAAAAATTGAAACTAATGATGGGTTGGCGACAAGCTGGTCATCAAAGTCCTTTTCTTGTAAATAAATATATGTCATTGAGAAAAGAGAGAAAAAAAAAAAAGTGCTTCCCAGCGATTATACGGCCACCTATGAGCCCGTTTTATCTGCCGTCTTTTTTAGATGGATGAGGGCAGCCGATCAGCCCGAGATAAGAGCTGTTTGACTTGCCCAGTATTTGCATTGAATTCAAGCAGTCTTGGGCAGTAACTAGTTACTATTAATGAGTTACCGTTAATTAGTTACTTTTTTCGGTAACTTTTAACTCTTTAGTACTGGTAACTTGTAACTGTAACAGTGTTACTTTTTTATTGGGTAACTAATTGTTAAGGCCATTAGTTATTTCTTTTTACTACCATGGAATACTGCGCATCCGCCCATTCCACATTAAGCGCCCATTACCAAATTTATAAGATCTGAGAAAATACGCACAGTATTTTTATATGTAAAATTGATGACTGGACAAGTGCCCATCCCCCATTTTTTTTGCGATTATCTCCAAAGTTTGAGTGGGCGCTTGCCCGGTATTTTATGGTATATAATTTAGAGCCCACTGCGGCATACATGGTGAAATTGCCATCTTGAAGTATGTTTCTCGAAACTCCTCGCTAACATAAAAACAAACAAACAAGAAGCGTGTCGAACAAACGAAAAATTGCCTGGTTTCGCCCACGGCCGAGAATATACGACGGACCAGTCAGCACGAAACCGGGAGATAAAGGAAGCGGCGCCTGTGATGGCAAACAATGTCTGTTTCACCGACTTCGACTCGCTCTTCTCTTGTAGGGACCATCTGTGGGTGTCGCTGGTCGTGCGATATGTCTCCGAGTATTTCGTCTGCGCTGTGTCCACACCCCCCACACCACCTCTCCCTTCCCCTTTGTTGGATATGTCTGTGCTGTCGTTTTTGCACCTAGCCGGTCGCCGTTTCCTTTTCCCTATTAGTTTTCAAGGAAGCCGTCCCCATATTGTGCAGAAAGCTGGCGCTTGTTTACCTTATTCATTCTTTTCGAGCTGCTTGAGTAAACATGAAGGCAGGTTCAAGTGTAATTGCCTTTTTCGTTGACAGCCTCAAGAAACACCTAGAGTTCCTGTATAGGCTCCCTACGGGAGCCAGAGTTGTGCGTCTGTTTTCCACATGCCGTCGCCCCTATTCGCTGAGATCCGATCACGTGAGGAGCCGGATCAAATGCCATGCAGGAAAGTAGACGTTGCACACTCCCCGGCATACATTCCCCTGCTTTTCAGTGCGCCACACGCCTCAAATGCGCAGCGCTGCTATTCGCCGAATTCAGTCACATGAGGAACAGGATCAACATGCCATGCAGAAAAGACTGCGCTACAGGGATGAATGCGCAACTCTGGCTCCCACAGGGAGCCTACACGGGAACTCTAGAGACACCCCAATAGAAGGGCACTTTGTTGTGGAACCTATGCAGTGCACCAGCTGAAGCGATTTGCTGGAAAACACGTGTCTTAAGTGGGAGAAGCAGCTGGTTTTTTATGCGTGCATACGGACTAGTCTTCCACAGTTGGCGTTTCGGACACAGATGCTGCAGTGGTCACACAGAGCACCAGAAGGCCTCACTTCGTGTTCTTTCCCTTTATATTCTTTCGAAGCTACTTGACGTGCTATGTTTAGGCCTGCTTCCGAGTATATCCCATAAGGTAATTATGTGACCATCTGCGTCCTCATTTGTTTTGGAGTGAAAAATAAACGAAAACGTTCACTGGTGCGGGCCAATGACAATTTTTGAAAATCAGTTGATTCTAAGTTATAACGGTTGTTGCAAATAAATTATGTGCATCAAAATTCTGAAATGGTGAATGACGTAAAAAAGAAACTCTTCGGTTTGAGTTTTTCTAATTTCTCAGTTTACCTTTTTTCTCACTATAGAGTAACAAACAAAAAATTATTGCTTTGGTTTGCGATTTCTTTTGTCCAATTTTTGTACTCTAACTAGAAGGTAACGGCATTACTGTTTTCATAGTAACTAACTGTAACTATAGAGTTACTTATCCCCCCTAGGTAACGGTAACACTGTTACTTTTTACTGGTAACGTGCCCATGACTGGATTCAAGCCATGGTGCTGGTCATTACAATGTCGCGTGTAAGGAAGAGAAAAGCTTTCTGTTTGAAGGTGAATCAAGCTAGATGCAGGGGAATATGGCGTCAGAGCATCCCTCTCTCTGCTCTCTCTAAATTTTTGCCTTCAGGTAATGAGAACAAGCCTACTGTGTTGGCAACAACCCTTTTCAGATGCACGGATGCACCAAATCTTCTACAACTTGTATTTTTCGCTGCTGTTAAAACGTCAGTCCGGCGAAGATAAGCAAATAAGCTCATTGCTTTGAAATGCCAGTCACGCCGCCGCTGTTTCAGCGCAGTCCCGGGGTGCACATAAAAGCAACCCGAAATTGCAACACTGAGGTCAACCGTTTGCAAGGTAGTCTTGTGAATAGCCTTTGCACAACCGATTTGCTATTGTAGCTTCTTTGCTGACTTGATTTCATTCCAGAGCACTCAAAAGGAGGTTTGCACCAAAACCACTTTATGACAGAACGTTGTTCAAATTCTCAGCCAGACGTCGCACTAAATTTAAGACTGCATGTATTTCACCAGGCTTTGTTGGTTGTGATACGCATGCTGCGACTGCTTTGCGCCGGAAACTGCGCGACGGCACAAAGCACTCATGAAAACAAGTGACGATTAAGCCATCCGAAGCGCACCCTCGTTGGCGGAGACTGCTATGGCGACACATTTGAAATATGAATACAATGGAAAGAAGAGGTTGGGCACAATCCTGCTGTTTGCACGGGCACTAGCCTGCAGTTTTGAGGAGTGCTCTGACCGCGCACATGGCCATTGTGAAAGCACGCATTGTCTCACATTTTCCGCTACCAGGGAATGTCCTATGACAGTCGCTTGACCCTGTCGTCACGGTCGGGTAATTTTTGTGAAGCACTCTATGAATGATGGAGAGAATGAGGCAGATATTTTGTTTCTCAGTATTTTGGGCCATTGGAGGCACAACCAACTGCAAACCATACACTTTGGAGCACAGCTGTTCCTCATGCACTTTCTCTTTCTGCAGTTGCTCTAGGAGCCCCTGTGCCACTTATGATATTTGGCTAACAGTCACTTGGTTGCGCGTTCAATTCTCGTTTGGGGCGTCTTTCTTACGACGAATTTAGTGGGCCCTATGGGCTTGAATACTTTATATGCAGCTTTAAATGCTGCGTAATGCTGGAACATGACGAAACGGTTTTCATTTATAACGGAAATCGGTGGATGTTTTTCGGTGTTTGTTTATTTCTAAAGTACTAGCATACTTCGGTAATCTAGTCTTGGATGGATGCTGAAGAGGCTTATTATCGGTGATAAAAAGTAGCGGAATCTAAAAATTCTGGTCTTAAGGGGAGACACTGCCCAGAAAAAAAAAATTCTGCAAAAAAAGCTGATTTTGAAAAATGACATCTTTAAATCCACCAACATCTAGAGAGTATTCCCTAAAAGTTTCATTAATTTTCACTGTATAGTTAATATTTTATAAATTATTTTCTATCCACCAAAGCTATAGAAAAGGTAGGGTTTGGAGCCCTTTGAACACATTTTTCTCCGTTCCACTTTTTGGTATAAATTCCATTTTAGTCAATCTATCATTTGATAATGGCAAAACAGGAAAAGCTCGTTTTTCCCTTTTCCTGACTGAAATTTAATAAGCAGTGCGGCTATGGAACTTTTTTGTCACTTTACGGATGTCTTTTGTAAAAAATGTTGACATTTTGTCGAAGGCACAGAAGACCAAAAAGTTGACCAATTTTGCAGAAGAGAAAAAATGTTCCATAGCCGCACCCTCTAGGCATTCTGCTACATATCTAGCAAATAAAAATCTTTAATATCGCAATAGTTTTCTGACGATAGATTAATTAAACAACGTAGGCGTGTTGCTGATAGAAGCTACTCTTATTTCCTTCTCATTTAATGGACAGACCTGAAATTTTCTTATACACCCTCTAGCATGACCACCAGACTACCCTGTAAATTTAATTAATTTTAAGACAAGGGTTCAAAAGTTGACCCCCCTAGGGGGTGTGCCCCCTTAAGAGGTGAGGGTTTTCCACAAACGGTCCTAGCTGAAACAAAAATTTCAAGAAATCTGTTTTTTCGTTTGCACCGATTTTCTGTTTTCGACACCAACGGATGCAATAAGTGTTTTTCGATTAAAGCGGGAAAGTCTACAACCTAAACGTAATGGGCAAATGGTTTTTCCGTGGAATTCGGCAGATAAAACACATTGTGCGGTAAAGTGCCCAAATTTCGTTTGGTGTGCCTTGGAAAGCGGATTGCGGCTGTTGCGTTCCTCTTCCGGCTGACCGGCAGTCTTTTGCTTGTGCAGGCCTGAGGGGCACATATCAAGGGGTGACAGCGACCATCATGAAGCAGGGCAGCAACCAGGCGATACGCTTCTTTGTCATGGAGACCCTCAAGGACTGGTACCGGGGCGGTGACCCCAACAAGCCAGTCAACAAACTCGTCGTCGGCATGTTTGGTGCCGTGGCCGGGGCCGCTTCCGTTTTTGGCAACACCCCCATAGACGTGGTCAAGACTCGCATGCAGGCAAGCCCCTCTTCTCTTGGTCCTCTGGCGATACCACTTCACTTGAGCAGTCATGTTTTATTTTTTTACTCAAAATGGCTGAGCAAAGCCGTACATGTGAAATTTAGCATGAAAGAAGTTTTCGTTAACAGTGATAGAAAAAGACATGTTAGAAAATTTTGCTACGAAGACAGAGTTATAAATTTTTATCTCTAATAAAATTGTTTCCCCTTTTTTTATACAAGATGGCGTCTGTAACATGTCAACGCTTTACTTTACTCTTTTTTGTCATTTCCAACTTTATGGGTCTGCTCTTTTCTGTTGAAAAAATTATGAGGAAATTGCTTTGGATAGCTGTGAAACAAAAGGACCATCAGGGCAAGTCGTCCAAAATGGTTACCATCCTCGCGGTCAAAACGGGGCTGCTTGGTAGAGCTTTTAGTGGCGGTTTTTTTGACGTGCACCCTGATACCAGTGGCTGTAGTACTCAAAGCTTTGTGCTCTCTGCCCCCTTTTCGTAGGGCCTGGATGCCCACAAGTACAAGAACACCTTTGATTGCATGCTTCAGATTGCCAAGCACGAGGGATTCCCAGCGTAAGACCTGTTTTTGTGCCTCGCTTCACTTCATGTTTGCTTTTCTACCGTGCTCGGCAAGTTTCTAGGGTGTCTGGGTGTGTCATTCTGATGGCAGCTAAAACTGGTTGTAGGGAATGGGATCACTGTTCTCTCCTGCGTGTAATTATGTCGTTAGGACATCACTAGGAACTTGGTATGACGTGCAGTGGACTGGAAATGGGTAGCTGTCAGCTGCAGGTTTTTATGTGAAAGCACCTTGGGCCGTGGATGTTAGGACGAACATCTTGGGACGAAGATGCGAAACAGAAGTGCTGCGTCGTTGCCTGCAAGTATCAGTAGCGGACCTGTGGCATACGCACACCAGTGAGTGCTCACCTATCCCCAAAGGAGGGAATCCAAGCGTTTCACACTTTCGTCCCATGTCCATAACTTCGTTTTTTGTGGACTGATCTCTAAAATTCACCACCAATTAGTTTGTGTCATCAACTGGCATCAAGTGAACCAAGAATCTAAAATTAACAAATAATTTCCCAGCTTTTTTTTTTTTTTTTTTTTTTTTTGAGGAACATTTTTGTGTCATTGAGGCATAGCAAGGACTTTCAAAGAGTATTTGGCTGCATTTGGCAGGTGTAAGGTGTTTTTGAGACCTCTCAAGTCTCTGCTGCAGAGCAGTGCAGTGAGAGTGGCACACTTGCAAGCGAGCACTTTAGTTCAAAACACACGAATAGCAAATATACCATACAGCTGGGATGTTATCAGGTAATTTCTGTCAGAAGTGAATAAGGGCATTGTTTTCCTTTCTTGTCGTGTTTTGTTACTCCTGGGGTTCACAACCACGTTGCATTGTGAATCCCGACTTTCAGCGGGTTATCCCTCGCCGGGGGAGAATCCTCTCCCCGGTAGTTTCGTTAAGGGGTGTGACCATCCAATCGAGAGGAAAGTGGGCAGTTGTAGAGACCGAGGAGTGCGAGCCTCATAGATGTCTTTCCCGAAAAGCAGTTGTGCACATAAGTAGAAACCGATACCTGTTTTATGCTTCACGAGAATAGAGCGCTCATTCCATGCACTGATGCCAAGGTGAAAAAGATTGTTTCGTGGTCTCTTCAACAGAAATCTGTTAAAAAGCGCCACATATTGCCTAAAAGCCATTGTTGCTTCAGGATATGACAGTGCATATACTTGTTGGCATCGCTTCGTCTGCTTGCAACTACGAGCCCATTTCGCAATTCAGTTGCTGCCGACACGCTGGTCGGATTGCCGCGGTAGATGCTTGCAGTGTTCCCAAACACAGTGACCCCGTTTTGCTGCAGGTTCTACAAGGGGACGATACCGCGGCTGAGTCGAGTCTGCCTGGACGTGGCCATCACCTTCATGATCTACGACTCCTTCATGGACCTTTTCAACCAGATCTGGAAGACCAGCTGAAGTGGTGCTCTGAGCCAGGGCGGGTCGGCGTGCTCCTCGCCGGGATCTCGCTCGTTCTTCGCGGAAGTAAGGGGCAGGATGGGATCTGCTGCTTGTGTTTTAGAGTCCTTAATTTTAATGTCGTCGTCGCGCTAATGTTGTCCGAATCGGGAATCAAAGCAATCTTGCTGAGCTGTTGGATTTGAGAACGTCTGCCACGGGGTACTACATATTGAGGCTTGCCTGCACAGGGCACGCATTATGCTTGTGCATCTTTTTATGCGGACAGATACTACATTTCTTTCGGCTGCATCCGATCGTTTCTGAACAAATATCTTATGACGAAGGCCACTGAACTTTAGCCACATGACAAGTGTTTAATCGTTTTAAAGGGGTTGGTAAACATTGTATCAATCCTCATAAAAGTATGCGCACAATGCGTGCTCGCGGCGATCAAGCCTTTACGTGATGCCAGAAGAAAGCTTAGCAAATGATCCAGTGATTTCGTAGCAAAGGCACAACCGAAGCTGCTGCCCTCCATTTGCTAGCCACTTCGAGATGCGTCTTTTGTCTCGTCGAACGGTGGAATTACTTGGTCAAATATTCTTTTCTCTGGCGTTGGCACGCACTCTTTAAATCAAAACTGACCGAAGAGGGAAAGGTATGGACGTGCATACTATTGACGTGGACAAGTGCAAGCCGGCACGCCTTTTCCGAGAATGGCAATTGCCCCGCTCCTCCTGGTGCCATCCATTTCGTCAGCGTGCCATTTGCAAGTTTTGTTTTTTTGCTGCTGTACATGCAAATGTTTCCCTAGGGAAAGGCCTCGGGTTTGGAGTGTGCTCTGCGGCTTCCTCTCAACCGCTTGGTGCAGTTTTCTTAGAGTAGAAAGACGCTTTTGCTTCCTAGGTGACTCATCCTCCAGTGGCAGTCGGATACTTTTTCTTAACGAGAGCGCCAGGTATAATGCTCCCTCGTGTTGTCTACAGCTGACATGCCCAGCGCGTTTGCCATAATCAAGTTCCTCAAAAACTTGGCCACTGTGCCCTGCCACTTTTTACTTAAGCACGTAAGGATGTCTTGTTGGCAATTAATTCCAAATTATTGGTGCATTCCAAGAATGTCTTTCGGTGCTCCGAAGCAGAAACTGCCAAACAGACCGGCATACAGTTTAAGCTCGTTATAACAGACCTTGATTTTGACCAAGATTTTGGTCTGTTGTAAGAGGAGTTATGCCGTATGCAGATATGAAGTTGAGTCAGTGGAAAGCAGAGGAAAACCAACCGAACTTCACAAATCGGTATGTTATATCCTAATGTCTGTTGTAACCAGGTCTGTTGTAATGAGCTTAAACTATACTGACGTCGGCTGTGCCGTATCTGAGCTTTTTTTGTGTGCATTACTGTTAAGAGGGTGCTTGAATCTGTTTGTATGCTGCCCAAGCTGAGGCTCAAGGATTCTGTTTTCCAGCATCGGTACTTGCATTGTTTTCGAAGCATTCCGTAGGGACGTGACATTGTGATGTGTTCTGGAAGGTTGCGCTTAACTCCGGCTCTAGTCATCGCGTTGTGTGGGCACAAGTGACACCGGTCAGTGGTTGCCACTTTCGCCAAATTTTTACTGTTGGAATAATGTCTAAACTTTTCCGTGCAAAAACTTTTTTCTGGACTGCCCATTCCTTTGCAGAGATATTGTAGCTTCACGGCACATGGGCCACCTATTTGGTTCTGAGCAGTTCAATTCGTGTAACGGTATCTGCTTTCCATATTGAATTCCAACGACGACTAGGGTGGTGTGGAGAAAGACAGGCTACTCGGCTCCAAGAGCACCTCTTTGATGTGGACCCTCAGCAACTTTTGCATTAGCTAGTGTCGTGTCGTGCAAGTCCGTGGTCAGCATTCCCTCGCTGTGACAATCAAAGCTGTTTCAAGCAGCAGCCTAGCCTAGCAGTGTTTGTCAGTAGCTAGCCATTTACTCGTCCGTCTTTTCATAACGTTGGGTAGCCAAGCTTAAAGGGTATCTGACAGCCCAAAAGAGTAAGTAGTTTTTTTTTCACGTGAAGTATTAGAATATGGTGCCGAGGCACCATACCCAATTAAGTTTTTCAAAAAAGTCGCACGTTCGGACAAGTCTAACCGAAACCAGAGAATGCGACTCCGGCACAATTGTGCACTCAGGTTATCTTTAGATCTACCCATTTTCTGCGTTTTAGTGCTCATAAAAGGTTTGTAGATTGTGTTATTTTCATTAACAAAGATGTGCCGTGGGTGACTCACCACTTCTCGAATGTTCAGAGTTCCGCACCGTCTATGTCGGCACTGCGTGACTGAGGAAACGGAGAGACGACGGAGCGACCCTGAGCGGCCAATTTTCGACCGGTGTTTTTTGGCACGAAAAAAGAAACCAATTTGTGCCGCAAATAACGTCTCGATAGTTGGGCCCTCCGAGGCCCCGTTTCTGCTAAAGTCTAGATGTGCACAAACCCACCTTGTCAGTGGATTTTGGGAGACATTCCATAGGGAGTGCTTTCTTGCGCGTCTGCCATCCGGGGCCGCATGCAATACTCTCCGAAACTCTCTCGGTGGCTCTCGTCAGAAGCGTGCCCAGCGAGCCACGATTGTTGCATTTTCAGAGCTTTTATTCTCGTTTTATAAAGGTGGGCTCACTGTCTTTTCTAAGCTACATTTTAGGTGTTGGCACAGGGCACGGGGATCCCTTATTTTGTTACGGTAGTAGTTGTAGTAATATATTGATTGCAGTGTGGTGCTTCTCTGTAACGGTGCCTGCCGCCTTGTTCAACATGCCAAGTTTCTTGGCTGCAATTGTAAAGGAAACTGGTTTGTTGCGCATGGTGAAGGAGGAAAAATAAAGTGGCTGCATTGCTTTTGGTGCTTGTCTCTGGGAACTTGCCCCCCCCCCCCCCCCCCCCCCCCCCCCCTTCTCCCCCTCATTTTAGAGACCAAAGGGACTATGCCTGCATGACTCGGCTGGCCAAGATGGCTATTGGCTGTAGCATTTTTTTTCTCTTTCTTCCGTTTTGCTTTTTCTAAAGCTTGTGACCCCTTTGTGCTATGGCAGGCAGGTAAGCTATTTATTTGATGCTAAAGAGAGAATCCTTTCCTTGTTGGTTTCGTTAAAGGGAAGAGAGGAGTCTGGGAGGAAAATAAATCCAAGTCATAAAAAGCACCTTTTACAAGAAGAAACGGCACACGTAAATACAAAAAAAAAGTGTTTAGTTTGAGCCCTACAATGCCAGTTAAGAACAGTATATTGCATTTCTTCAACAGGTCGTTTCAGTTCAATATAATTCTGACTGTTCATGAAGCACAAGTGCTACTGAGCTTCAACACCGAGGGTCTCGCAGCTACCTAGATATGGGCACTAGCGCATACATAAACGCACACTCTCGACAGTAGCCTGGACACAGTCACTTGCAACATTTCGACACTACCTATGTATACATAGAGACAGGTTACAGATACTATGCTGGTGTTTTCTTTTAGGCTTTACAAATTTGTGCTAAAATGATGAAAGCTACTTGCCGAGTGTCATTGAAAACCACAAAAAAGGTTAGTCTTTGGAGATTTCTGGCGTGTGGGGAAGTGAGATTGTTTTCTGAAATTGACCCATTTAGTAGTTTCCGATGACTTTCTGCAAGCTTCTGATCGGAATACCTTTATGTTCAGTAAGCAAAAAGCTACTTGTCACGGCAATTGTCTTTTTATATTACGTCCCCCTGGTCGTATAACTCACCTGCACAAGCCACATTAATGTGGCTTTCACGGCTTTTTAAAAAAAAACTAAGGGAAAAAAAACAAAAAAAACAGACACCTTGTATAATAATAGTATTGAGTGATTTGAGCCACAAACGATGCTAACAAAATTTCTTTATTATTGTAAATAGACATTTCTTGTAATAGCTAACAGTGCAGCCCTGTAGTCCACTAAGAAAGCGATTTAAAAAAGATGTCAATAATTGACTAGAATGAGCTGTGGCTCTGCTGTGGCAGCCACTATCCATATGCCATTTAACCAAGTGGTTAGGGCAAAGAAATATGAACTTTCTGAGAATGAAATCACTAGATAAAGCAGTCGATTTTCAGTGGAAATAATTGCATGCAACAAGCAGACTTGGCTCGTGCCGTTTTTGTTAACAGCATATCCCTTCGGAAAATCCTCCTGTAGGGGCATCTCGATTGTTTCTACGTGGAAAACATGGCACGAGGCATTCTCCTGTGTACTTGTGCAGCAGAACCTACAAGACATCATGTTATTCAACCCAATCGGCTATTTATGGAGCCTTGCCTTGTTATTGAGTGTGCCATCTTTTTCACGTGAGTTGATGCCATCTGGATGCCATCAAGCAATGATTGAAACATTGTCCCTGCAATTAGCACTGCTGGGAATGGCAAGTTGTGGTGGGGCTACCACTACAGGTGACAAAATAACAGAATGCACGGTGTTTGCCCGCTTTAGTCCCGTCTTTGTCGTGGCAATGTTTATCACTTGAGGAGAAGGTGGAATGGGCGAAGATTGAGTCTCGGCTGGAAAAGTTTCTGTCCCATACGAAGCATTGCATGCCATGGGGCAGAAGTCGTCGAGACAGGCGTAAAGATCCCGCGCTATAAAATAGTTAAATAATAAGTATTCAGGTCACCAACTGCGGCTGTACCTCGGTTTTTTTGCAGTTACCTCTCGGAACATTGCATTGATAAGAAACGCAGATTCACGAGTTAACCTCAGCGCTCTTTCCTGTCTCTTCTCTCTTCTCCATACGTGTGCGCTAATACTGTTCAAATAACCTCAGCATTGTGACTTTGCATGTTGTTGCTGTCTCTGCCATAAGCAAAGTGTCAAATCAAGACTGAAGTGTGCCGACATATCTTGGAGATAGAAACATTGGTCAGCAGTCACAGCACAGATTTTAAAAAAAGTAGTAATTGGAATGTTGTTTTACTTTTTATAATTAAGTGACTGTAACTAGATACATTTGCAGGAATGGAAAAACTTTGCTAACTTTAATTACAGTTCAGCTCCAGGAACTGTAACCTCATTCTTATTTAAGAGCTCACTTTCACGGCTCTGAAAAGAACCTATGGATGGCAGCGTAAGCAGCCGGCCCATCGAGTATGGTGCTTAAATTTCTTTTCTAGAGGACTGTGGTCAGGTCAGTTCCCAGGCAAACAGAATGGAGCTGTGACTGTGCATCATTAAGTTTGTGAATTGAGCTGCCGAGAGGTGGGCATAATAACCAGGTAGCGTTACAATTGGCTGACATGCCACACTACCATCGTATCCCACAGCATATGCCGCTGTAACCGGCCAGGCAAAGCCATTTTATAGGCCAATGCGCTGCTTACAAACAAGCCCCCCCGAAGTGTGGGAAACGTGGAGTTTCCGCACGATGTGTGGGCACTGTGCGTGCGCAGGAACCAGATTCGCGTGAAGTGAAGCATCTGCGCATGCGCCCTGCCAACAGCAGTGCCACCGCAGTGGCGTGACGTCAGGGCCGCGTGTTGGTGTGCAAGGAGTGTAAAATAGCTCTAAGGCAAAAAAGGTAAGTAATTGAGCTACTTGCAAATAGTCTTCGCTAGTGCCGAGTTTTATATTCCAACGGCAAAAAGCTGCGCGATCCCCCACCCACAATCGAGGCCGCCTTGGCGTCTCATCTCCTACGACGGTATTCAGGGTGTGTGCTGGCCAACGGTGACCAGAAAGGTAAGGTAGTGCAGAAGCAGATATCAGCTGCCAAACCTGAAAAATGGTTGATGAGATTCTTTGATTTCGTTCACAACCCTTTACGCTCGTTTGTCGAGTCGTGCCCGACAGAAACTCGTAAAGCACCGCCCAAAGCTGGGGTGCGACTCTGGAAAGTGCTTGAAGTAAGACTAGCCGGAAGTCAAGGAGAGGACCACTGCAAGGAAGCATGAAATGGAAATTCGGCACACCACAAAAGCAGGCAACAGTCCCGGTGCAACCCCAAAACGGGAAAAACTGGTCTTTGTCGGTTCGCTACGTAAACAAAGACACTGTGCTCGTTGTCAGACGAGGCACCGTCCAGACGGCCTCTCGACCAACCAGACGCGCGATTTGTGACAAAAAATGTAACCGGATGAGCAATTTGTGACAAAAGCAGACTCAGGTAGGCAAACCGGGTGCAGCAATCGCATACTAATCTCAAGTAATAAGTTAATGGCCACGAGATTCAAGGAAGCAACCAAATCTCTACTGACCTTACAACAGTAGAGAAGAAAACCACGGGGCAGAAATGTAACCTTGCGTATGCACCCCAAAAGCAGACAACAGTCGGCGACATCCTGGACGGCACAAGGCGCGTTTCCGCGATCTCTGGAGGAGGCCGTCCGGCCAAAAGTCAAATTTGAGGGTTTGTTTGTGTCGAATCGACGAAGGGCACCTGGCACGCTCCAGCAGAGGTCCGAAGGATATTTTGACGTACAACCGAAATCTCAGTTACCCGTTGCCTTCTCTGCAGTAAGACCCCGTCAGATTGCGGGCACTTCGGGTGGGATTTGAACCTGCCACCTGGGGATCCATAGGCCAGCGCTTTGCCTCGAATTCATTGAACTGGCCATCATCTGGCTGCCAGACTTAAAGCTCCTCGGTAAAATTCACGCTTGGCGTTCCTTACAAGTACTGTAAACCATCGTTATGGGAAGGGTCAATAAATGGGCCACGGGAGCGCGAGTGCTCCGCCACCATTCATTTCCAAGAGTCGCTCGTTTTGGTGCCTAGCCGCCATTTCCTTCACAGTGCCGCACGAGAGTGGCATGGGCCCGGTGCACTGCTACTCGCGAGACAAACGCAAGTGCGTCAAGGGGCTTTAGCCGTGCCGAATCAAGACTTGAGTAGTCCCAGCTGCACGGCCGCGCGATACTGGTCAGGCACCTCCATAAGGGCGTGGAGCGCGAGCGCCGCATCAGGGTTGCGGCAGCCCCGCGTCACCTCGGCGTGGCGCACAAGCTGGAGGTTGTCGAAGCGCCGCTCGGGCAGCTCGTCATCCCAACGCTGCAGCGCGGGCCAGGGGCCGTCCCCGAGGGCGAGCAGCACGAGGGAGAGCGGCAGCTGGGAGCAGGAGACAACAGCCCGGCGGGAGGAGGCCTCCCCGGCAGGGTCCAGCTGCCCGTCCGTGAGCACCAGGACCACGTGAAACTCGCGGCTGTGGGCGGCAATCTCCTGAGCCTTCTGGAGCAGTGGGGCCAGGCTGGTAGGTCCGCTCAGCTGCACCTGCGTGCGGCAGGATTGCGGGGGGCAGGCTTCACTGACGAGGGCCTTTCCTTAAAGGGGTCACTTCATATAAACATAATAAGCGCAACAATGCATTGTTCTTTCTCGGCGGAAACTGTCCGGCGGGGGGGGGGGGGGGGGGGGTAAAGACGGGAGCTGAATGCAACAAATCGTGGGTGCCGACATTATTGGTTTCTAGAGAAAGAACGAAAGAGAGCAACGAAAAAGCGTAAGAAGCAGACGGCAGGATAAGTGTGCTCGTTTTGCCGCAATAAATGGAAGTTGCTGGAGCGCTTGTCAACTTTTATACAATGCACGACGCCAATGTTTTCTTGCAAAGTAAACTAGAAAATAGGTCAGTACAGACTTTAAAGTGATGTTTTGCTGCAGATTTATGTATGTTAAGGCATTGGCAGCGATATTGTCACAAATGACTATTGATGAGGCAATAAATAACAAAAGAAACTGAATGTTCAATGCAGCGAACTTGTGCCAAAACAAAAGTAGAACAGAATAACGGTAAATAACACAGCATCACGGGCGTTGAATGTCGGCGTGAACGCAGAGCTGAGCGCTGGCGAAAGACCAACTATGTACAGCATGGCTTCTTTTGAGCCTTTCCTGGGAGCCTAGAACATTCTACCTCGTTCATTCTGGAAGTATACATTTAGGGCATGAACAGGCTAAATGGCTCTTAAACGTTCTAGAATCTTCTACTTATGTAAAGAAAGAAAAAAAACGACAATTGCAGGAGTGAGATTCGAACCCCGGCCATCTGTGTGAAAGCCAAGTGCGCTGCCTCCTTGGATAGCTGCGCACGTGGCAATATGGGCCCATCTGGACCACCCACTGGGACCATTGATGTCTATGCATTGCCGTTCTAAAGCAGCCAGAATGTCATTAACCTTTTTCTTGAGATCATTATTGGAGATGTGCGAATAGCGGTTCAAATCGAATTAGCGCTGCATCATTCATAGCATTTACGGTGAAAGGAAACATCAATACAACTGGCTTTTTTAACAGTGTTGAAGCTAGAGACAACACTGCGCTATTCGATTCAAACCACTATTTGCGCACCCTTACATAATATATTAACTCCGTGATGCCCAGTGACGGCCGCTACATGTGCACCCACCTTTTGTGCCGTGTGCGTGTAGGCACACATAAGGTCGTTGAAGTCCAGACAGGGCGTGCCAGACTCGATGAGCGGGAAAACTGCCGTGTCCTTGGTGGCGGAGTCGCCGAAGCCGAAGGCCGGAATGGGGTTTCCGTGCAGCAGGGGGGTCAGCACGGCCCCCAGGGAGGCCAGGGCCCGCTGGTACGGGTTGTGGGGGTTGCTCCCTTTCAGCGCATGCAAACTCTCGCCGCGGAATGTCTTGCGCCCCTGCCACTCGTTGCTGGCCGAGAAGTCGATGCCCACAATGACGTGGATGTCCGGCAGCCCTGATGCAGAGGTTGGGGGCCAAAATGGCGGGGTGGTGAATTTTAAGAATTATATAGGCACACTGCAGTGACGTTGTGGTCAGACAACTTAAAAGCTAACGTGTCATCAGTGCTCTTTTGGCAAAGGAATAACACAGCGCTCCTTATCACGACCACCTCTTTTTATTAAAATGAACATAATCCATTTGAGATGAACCTTCGGTTAAAAAATAAATGCGAACAATAAAAGCAAAACTTAAAGTAAAAAAATGCGTCTGCATAACGGCAGCACTTTTGCTGCCAACGGATTCCGTCTGCGTGTCGTCTGCTATCTTTCGCTGGTCGGCTGCACCTTCAGACTCTGCTCCCGACGCCAACTATCAATACGGACGCCAAGCACACCCAGCTACTGGACTTGGTCATCTGCGTTGCTGCCCGCCATAGACCCTGGCAAAAGTTCCTTGGCCTTATTTTTTACAGAAAGAGAGCTATGCTTTGTAATTTTGCAAGAAAAAACCAACCTGTGAATTACACCTTTGACGAAAAGTTTAGATGGCTACATGTAAGCGTCGATTTTTGCGGTCCATTTTTGATCGAGCCTGGTGACTTGAACCACCCTATTTTTAAAAAGCGAGCTTCCCCAGGAATACCGGTGTTGACGGGTGTAGGAACAAATGGTCCCGGAACTAATGGTCCCGGAACTAATGGACCCGGAACTAATGGTCCCGGAACTAATGGTCCCGGAACAAACGGTCCCGGAACAAATGGTCCCAGAACTTATGGTCTGAATTTCAAGGTAAGAAAAAATGGTCCCGTCAGAGGATTGTTTTGAAACTAAGATATGCCATGCAATATACTTCATCCGTTATGTAATCAGTGATTTCCTGGTGGAATGAAGGATCTCGTCTATATTTTTAGGCCGGTTAATTCGAAGAAAGTGGTCGGATATTGAACTTCATTTTGTTTAAAATCGTCAAAATATTTTTAAATTGAATACTGTCCAACAGTTATCTCATAACTGTCAAGTTAGAGACCTTATACAATATTATAGGAGTTATTACAATTTTCATAAAAAGGGCTTTAGAATATTTATGATATCAGTAGGGTCTTTTGAAACGAAAAATAAGTACTCCTAGTCCATATTACATGAGCGAATGACGTTTCAGCGAACAGCTAAATTTGAACGAATCGACGTTTTAGCAAATAACGGGGGTGCATGTCCCCCCCCCCCCCCCCCCCCTCCCCGCACTGCGCTTACGCCGCTTCGTGGCGACAATCTGCTGTGGCTCGTTACAAAAATGTGAACCCACTTGGCTCACCCGTAAACGACGCTTCGCGGCGGCCAACTATTCGCTAAAGTGTCATTCGGTGAAACGTAGGCGTTTGCTAATACGTCATTCGATCAAGTGAGTGCCTCCCCTGTTGAAGCAGTAAAACTCTAATTACTTCCATCTCGTCATGACGCATGGTGGTGGCACACATAACGAGCGGAGCTCGATGCCTTTATAGGTGCATTAGGTTTTCATAGCGCAAAACATTTCTAAACTTCCCAGAAAAATATAAGAATCGGTCGAGTTCGTGCAACCGGCAGCCTCGAAATTCGGCGAGTTGTAGTGGAATTTATTGGATTTGTCCGAAAACGCAAAGCCAAATCGGCGATATTTATCTGGGAACATTTTTTCGTAGTCTGTACTTGCGACCATTAGTTCCGAGACCATTTGTTCCGGGACCATTTGTTCCGGGTCCATTTGTTCTGGGACCATTTGTTCCGTTTCCCGGTGTTGCCATTTCGTACATGGTTGTGGTTATTTTTCCCTGCATTGCAAGCCTCTAACCTTTTTCCGTGAGAATCTGTCTTTCCTGTTATCAAAGGAAAGACAGATTTGCAGCAGTCTCCTTGCCGCGGACTGATCGCCTCATAGTTTCAAACCTTGCCTGAAATTCGCTATTACTTAAATTGCATTCAGATACAGACTGTCAGATTTCTAGAACTTAGGGTTGGGCACTACAATCTCTGAAAAAGCCTCACAAACTTTGGAGACCTGCATGCTGCCTGAATGCCTATGCCCCAGACCACCCCTATAGCACAACACAATGGTAAGATATGGTGCCAGCATGCAAGGAATGGTGGCGCCGCCTACGTAATGCTGGGGGCTCACAGTGCACAGCACAGCTCGATGAGCGGTGAAAACTACTGGTCAGGTGTGCTAATAAGAGCGTCGAAGCGAGGCATGTGACAACAACACCACGGAGCGCGGCCCTTTGTGGACTATAGTGTGGACCGCTTTCATATGTCTTGCCTGTTTGCCACGACGCACCACTCTACGCATATGCACACACCAAGTGCGCTGGCTTCGCCCCAAAGCGACGGGGGACCGCCGAGAACAAGTCACCAACCTGCCCTGCGCATGGCCGTGCTCACTTCCGAAAAGGTGTGGAATCGGTCCCTGAAGGCGGCGAAGTCGTACACTTCCTCGCGAGACAGTCCAAGGATGGCGAAGAGGCTGGTCGAGTAGTAGCGACTCGTCTTGACGGGCGGTGCGTCGTCGCAGCTGGCCGAGCGCACGGGCGCCCGCTCCTGGCTCTCCTGCTGATGGCAGTAGTAGTCGAACAGGAGCAGGAACACCAGCGTGGCCACCACGAAGCACAGCAGGGCCTCCATCGCCGGGTCGGTGGAGTACGACGTGAACAAGCAAGCGCCAACGCGTTCACAGCTGCTCGCCGATCGCGCGGAGCGAACGCATAATCAGAGCAAATGACCCGCCGATAGATTGTTCACGATTTTGGGGGCATGCATGCTTGGCACTTTCACGGATGACATTTTGAAACAGCGCTGGTCTTGAGTGCGATCAGAGGAGAGGGACGAGACGACGTACCAGGACGTCGCGCGACGTACATGATAATTTTTTCCATTTCTCCATTGAATTGAAATCCAGCCTGATCTAGCGATACCAACGTTGCAGTAGATGAATAGCTAATAAAATTGAATGTTACTCGTTGAATTGAACGGCGGGTAGCGCCATCTAGTTTGTATGTATAATAATAAAAAACGTTTAACATAGTTTTACCGTTTCATCCGAGACAGGAATCAGGATATGAAAAGAAACACAAAAAATGAAGGGACAACACGGAGACGTTGCGTGTTGTCCCTTTCTTTTATATGTATGCTTTAACTTTCCTTGATCAGGTTAAATTAAGTCAAGTTTTCATCAGCTCACCTGCGTGCTTACCTTTGTTCAAATTTCATTTACCGCCCATACTAGACTAGACTATACCCATACACACACAAGGCTTGTATGCATTCATGATGTGTATTGCATATTGTAATGTATGCATATTGGTGGGGGGGGGGGGGGGGGGGGGGGGGGTTGTGTGGTATGCTTATACAGCCTTGAACTTGGTCTGTCTCACAGGGGCGACGAGTCTCCCAGCTGTAGATGGGCAATTTAGCCAGTGCAGTACAACCGCTAGCCTGGGGTCTTTAACGTGCACCACGCAGTAGTGATACACGACCGCACGCCGGTACGATGCTCATCCAGATTGAAACGGGCAGGGGTGGGGATTGAGCCCAGGATCCCTGGGTTCTGTGGCGCGAGCTTTCGCTCCACGTGCTCCGAGCTGGTGTGCGCTAGCCCACTCGGCCACCGATTCCCCCATGTATGCATATCTGTGCACAAAAGGTGACAGGTTATAAATGAATAAAGGGCAAACGCCAACCAATCCCTAAAAAATCGTAGGGTCCCAACGTTTCGGTGCCGGCTCGGCACCTTCTTCAGGGGGGCTATTTAAAGGAGAAGCAGCTTCTTTCTTTTCTTCTGCGGTGAATGTAGCGCAGTATCTTCGTTTTTTTTACGGTGGTTAGTTTTCAAACTAGGTGCGGTACCTTCGTTTTCTTCGAAGTTGGTTATTTACAAACGAGGATCAGCATCTTCGTTTTCCTCTATGGTAGGGGCCTGTTTCTTTGGTGTTTTCTCTAAATGTCGTAGACCACTGACGTATGCTGAGGGCAAGGTGCCGGAGGATCGATTAATATTTCCTGGTGTGGTCTGTATGCGCCATGACTCAATAAAGAGTCGTTGCCGCCAGTTGGTTTCTACATCCAGGATTCGGGTATTTTCAAAGTCGATGCGGTGGTCATTGTCCTCGCAGTGTTCCGCAACAGCGCTACGCTCTCGATCAAATTTTCGTACGTCATTCTTATGTTGGGGGACTCTTTCCTTGAGGTTTTTTGTTTCGCCGACGTATGAAGCGGAACACTCAGCACAGGGAATCTGGTACACAATGCCTTGTGCTTTTTCTCTCGCTGGACGGTCTTTCGGACGAGGCATTAGGCGCCCAAGTGTCGAAACAGGTTTGTGAGCCACCTGAATATTCTTTGGCCAGCGTACGAGCCAGAGTTTCGCTAGTTCCCTTTATATAAGGTACACAGACGCGGATGTTAGGGCGGGACTGCGTGCTATTCTGTGGGTGCTCAAGACTGCGACCGAGACGACGGGCAACACGGCTGATGAAGCTGTTGGTGTAGCCATTCTTTTTGAGGTCGGCGATGACAGCCTGTTCTTCACTTTCTTTATCTTCTTTTGAGGAGCAGATGTTCCGAGCTCTGGACAACAGGGTCGCAACCACCGACGCCTTGTGACTCGAAGGGTGGTATGAGTCAAACCGAAGGTAACGTCCAGTGTGGGTCGGCTTCCTGTATACAGTGAACTCCATGTCTTCACCTACTCGCTTGACAAGCACGTCCAGAAACGGCAAGGTGCCGTTTTTTTCAAGCTCTAATGTAAACTGGATGGCCGGCTCGATGGAGTTGAGGTGAGCTAAAAAGTTGTCCACCTCTGATGTCTTTAGGATACAAAAGCAATCATCGACGTACCGTAGGAACACTTTGGGGCTAGCCGGAAATGAGTGCAGCGCCCTTTGTTCGATTGCTTCCATCGTCAGGTTTGCCGTAGTAACCGAAATAGAAGCTCCCATTGCGGTTCCGCTGGTCTGGCTGAAGAACTCTCCTTGGAAGCTGAAGTAGGTGCTGTGAAGGCAGAATTCAAGGAGGCAGCATATTTCATCCACGCTAAGGCAGGTTCTTTCGTTCAGGTCTTTCTCCTTTTCGAGAGCGTTCCTGGCTGTGGCTACAGCCAGGGGCACTGGAACGCTTGTGAAGAGTGAAATTACATCGAATGACACTAGACTGTCCTCGGTGGTGACCTTGAGTTCTGAAACAAGCTCCACGAAATGACCGGCGTTTCGTACGTTAGTTGGCGTTCTTCCGACGAGAGGGGAAAGGGTGCGATGGAGGTAGTTGGATAGCGCCCGAAGCGATGACGTTGTAAAATCCACGATAGGCCGGAGGGGAACATTTGGCTTGTGGATCTTAGGGAGTCCATAGAATCCAGGAGCAGAACCATTTCGGCATATGAGCCGTAGGTAAAGGTTCTTTGATTCTGGATGTTTTTTGAAAATTCCCGCCAGAAGTTTGTTCAGATTTGTCTGAACTTGTGTGGTGGGGTCCTTTCTGAGTTTCTGATAAGCGGAGCTGTCCAGAAGATCCTTCACCTTTCGTTCGTAGTCTTCCCGATCTAGGACGACCGTCGAGTTACCCTTGTCCGCCGGTAAAAGCACAATTTTTGTGTCATCTCTTAGCTGCCGAAGTGCTGTCGACTCTTCCCTTGATACGTTGTATTGTTGACGCAAAGGCATTTTCGACAGAATGCTGACCGTTTTCTGTCGGACCCGTTCCTGGGCGCTTGAGCTCAATTGCGTGATGCCGTCTTCTATTGTGGCGACAATCTTTGGTATGGGCGGCTTTGTCGTCGTCACGTTAAAGCCGTGGCCTTTTGCCAAAACAGCAGTCTCGACCAAAGAGAGTTCCCTTGAGGAGAGATTTGTGACAAACCTGGTAGTATCGGAGCCGTATCTTGCTTCGCGTTTCTTTTTCAGCTTCAAGAGCTTCTCCTTCTGAGAATCCCGTCGTTTTTTTGCAGAAGTAGAAGCGATGTTTTCGGTGAAAGACTGAAGGGATGGGAAGATATCTGGGATTTGGTGTTCAAGCTGCCGACGAATGAAGAACAAGTCTAGCTCTTTCTTCTTGAGTGTTGCTTGACACTCGTGAATACGCGCTTTAACCAGACGGTGCTCTGCCTGGTCGAGTATCTTATGTCCTTCAGGTATATGGACGAGGCGCTTGAGAAGAAGGCTCTGTGGAACTATGTGCGCATCTCGACAGGCTGTCGTAAAATCAAGGTGAGTCCTGAACGTAGAGATACTGCGGGCAACGTTTACATACCGCTTCGCTAGCTGTGCTGCTTTCTCTCCGAAGTCAAGGCGTATAGACTTGAAGGTGAACATTTCGGCAGACGTCTGCCTGGTTGGGTTAAATGTTATAAATGAATAAAGGGCAAACGCCAACCAATCCCTAAAAACCAATCCCTGAGCACCCACAGAATAGCACGCAGTCCCGCCCTAACATCCGCGTCTGTGTACCTTATATAGAACTAGCGAAACTCTGGCTCGTACGCTGGCCAAAGAAGGTATTCAGGTGGCTCACAAACCTGTTTCGACACTTGGGCGCCTAATGCCTCGTCCGAAAGACCGTCCAGCGAGAGAAAAAGCACAAGGCATTGTGTACCAGATTCCCTGTGCTGAGTGTTCCGCTTCATACGTCGGCGAAACAAAAAACCTCAAGGAAAGAGTCCGCCAACATAAGAATGACGTACGAAAATTTGATCGAGAGCGTAGCGCTGTTGCGGAACACTGCGAGGACAATGACCACCGCATCGACTTTGAAAATACCCGAATCCTGGATGTAGAAACCAACTGGCGGCAACGACTCTTTATTGAGTCATGGCGCATACAGACCACACCAGGAAATATTAATCGATCCTCCGGCACCTTGCCCTCAGCATACGTCAGTGGTCTACGACATTTAGAGAAAACACCAAAGAAACAGGCCCCTACCATAGAGGAAAACGAAGATGCTGATCCTCGTTTGTAAATAACCAACTTCGAAGAAAACGAAGGTACCGCACCTAGTTTGAAAACTAACCACCGTAAAAAAACGAAGATACTGCGCTACATTCACCGCAGAAGAAAAGAAAGAAGCTGCTTCTCCTTTAAATAGCCCCCCTGAAGAAGGTGCCGAGCCGGCACCGAAACGTTGGGACCCTACGATTTTTTAGGGATTGGTTGGCGTTTGCCCTTTATTCATTTATAATATTTAACCCAACCAGGCAGACGTCTGCCGAAATGTTCACCTTCAAGGTGACAGGTGCTTCGGTCCATGAGGGTACAATCATAATTAGTCAATAAATTACTTATAGTTAATTAATTTATGACTGTACCTTCAGGGTTCTAAAGCACTTATACACATGTGCTTATTTCTTTTTTTTAAAATATAAATTAGAGGTGTGCTGAAATTAGATATCTTATTGCTAACCGAATTGAATTGAATATTCAAATACGAATGATTCCACATGACTGAATATTTTCATAAATCAAGCTGGAATATTTTGTCCTTTTTTTCCCTTTTTTTCTTCTGCAAAAAATATATCTGAAAAGAAACAGTTCTATCACATGACAAGTATTTCATGTGTTCTGTTTAATACACAAACAAAAAAAAAACAAAAAAAAAAGGAAAGCTCCTAAGACGGACATAAAAAAAAATAGTTTAAGTAGATCGTTCCAATGACTCGCTAACGATACCAGATACTTCGCCTCCGCCTTTGCGCATGCCTCATATCGTTATTGGGCATCGTTATCGGGGGTATCGGAACGACTTGCAGCGTGTCGCAGCCCACCTCGCCCCCCAATGTTTTTTTTTTTTAGTTTTAAATTATTCTTTGTCGTACACTTATTATCTGTTTAAATGTAGCGTTAGCAAGTTTCAGAACTAAACTTTGTCTTATCCAAAAGTTCGAAAGGATTTTTTTTTTTTTAATTTTTGATGAGAAAGTCAGGCAGCTTTCGCCTGTTTTCGATAACTGGCGTTATCCAGCTCCATGTGTTCGAGAGCTCCGTCGACCGCCATTTTC